CATGTGGGTATGTGTCACACTGCCCCTTTTGCAACAAGTACAATCCAATTTTAGGCTGGCTTAAGTAAGAGAGTGAATATAAAAGAAATACTCTCCTCCTAGAAAGGATGGTTCAGTAGTATCCATTGGTCTTGTTTCTGAACGGTTGGCCCTTTCAAGAGGTTATCCTTTCTCGTTCTCAGAATATGCTTTGGGTACTGTTTTGCCTTCTCTGTTGTCTCTAGATGAGCATTTGGAAACATGATAAAAGTGATGATAAGTGTGGATTTTCATTTTTATTTTGTTATTACAGAAGAATTCTCATGTTTTTAATCCTATCTAATAAAAGAGAAACATGGTAATTAGCCATATATCTGCTACCCTTCCCATTGGCTAATCAGGGCGATATGCAAATTAACTGCCAGCCAAGCTGGCGGCCGGCAGCTAGGCAGCTTGAAGCGAACATGAGGCTTGCTTGCTTCAGTGACGGAGGACTCCAACGTTCCTCGCCTGCCGCTGCTGGCCTCTGAGCTTACAGTTTATAACATTGTTACAAATACAGAAGCTAAACAAAACCCCAGAAACCAGCTTTCAGCCAGCCGGGATCTCAGAGCTGGAGTTAAAACAGTGTTTTGATTATAGAACCCAAACAAACTAGATACCTGCTTTCAGCAGCAGAGGCCTCAGAGCTGGAGCCAAGCCTCACAGCTAAAGCTGGCCCAGAATTTAAAAAAAAGAAAAAAAGGAGCAGTTGGGAGCTTCAGTCACCCGCCAGCCTGAAAACAGCCCTCAGCCCCTCACCCAGACTGGCCAGGCACCCCAGTGGGGACCCCCACCCTGAAGGGTGTGTGACCAGCTGCAAACAGCCATCATCCCCTCATCCAGGCTGGCCAGGCACCCCACCCTGATCCAGGACACCCTTCAGGGCAAACCAGCCGGCCCCCACCCATGCACCACGCCTCCAACCTATATAGTAAAAGGGTAATATGCCTCCCAGCCCCGGGATCAGCGGAGCCTCGAGGCCTCCCGGCACCAGGATCAGCGTGACAGGGTGCAGCACCCAAACCCCCTGATCGCCCTGCAGCTCTGTGTGTGACAGGGGGCGGGGCCACAACCTCCCTATCCACCCTGCTCTGTTTGTGACAGGGGAAGGCGCCCCAACCCCCCTGATCAGCCCTGCTCTGTGCCTGATAGGGGGAGCTCCCCAACCCCCTGATCGCCCTGTGGCTCTGTGTGTGACAGGGTGCGGCGCCCCAACTGCCCTGATGGGCCCTGCTCTGTGAGTGACAGGGGGCAGCGCCCCAACCCCCTGATGGGCCCTGCTCTGTGAGTGACAGGGGGCAGCGCCCCAACCCCCTGATTGGCCCTGCTCTGTGCGTGACAGGGGGTGGCACCGCAACCTCCCCATCGACCCTGCCTTGAGTGTGACAGGGCGCGGTGCCCGAACTCCCCAATTGGCCCTGCTCTGAGCCCGACCAGGGGCTGCACCTAGGGATTGGGCCTGCCCTCTGCCATCCGGAAACAGGCCTAAGCCAGCAGGTTGTTATCCCCCAGAGGGGTCCCAGACTGCGAGAGGGCACAGGCCAGGCTGAGGGACCCCCCTGCCCCCCGAGTGCACAAATTTTTGTGCACCGGGCCTCTAGTAATTTATAAGAGAAAAAAAATTCACTGCCTTTAGTTCAAGCTCTCTCTGATCCAGTGGTTCTCAACCTTGGCTGCACATTAGAATCATCTGGGAATCTTTTTAAAATCCTGATTTCTGGGCCTCATCCTCCGGAAATTCTGTTTCTTTGTTATGGGGTGAGGCCACAACATTAGTAACAAAGAAACAATTTCCGGAGGGTGAGTCCCAGAAATCAGGATTTTAAAAAGATTCCCAGGTGATTCTAATGTGCAGCCAAGGTTGAGAACCACTGCTCTGATCCGATCACTAGCATTGCTAAAGGTCATTTGTCACTGAACTGTTTTTCCCCCAGTTCCCTCTTTTTGGTTTGTTTTTACTAGAAAATGACTACCTCTTGCTTCTACCTTTAGAAAAGTTTCTATGATTCTATACTTACAGGTATTAAGGTTGCTATTCCCTTATATTTTTTTTGGAATGACTTGCTTATCTTTTTGCAAGTTAGTGAGACTAGATTAAAAATTAATTTATAGCATATTTTATGATATACTAGATATAATCCATTAGTTCTTGTTTATAAAACTTAGGAATACCACAAGCCACACTGACTGTTACCATAACTGCCATATGTACCTACATATCTACACACATATACATTTATTTGGAAAATATTTGCTGAGCACATGATGTGTTCTAGGTATTGGAACATTAGGGAAGGAGGAAGGGGTGATTAAGAGCCCAGTCTCTGGGTTGGACCTCCTGCTCTGCCACTTGCTGATTTTGCATGTTGGACAATTAGTTTATTTCTCTGAATTTACATTCTTCCTCTGTAAAATGTGGGGATCATACTAGTACTTCCCCTGAAGGCTACTGGAGGACTGAAAGAGCTTGTCACAGTACTCAGTTAAAGCCATTTTTATTTTTTAAGGATAAAGTGAATTACTAGATGCTGTACTTCCTCAAGGAACTGAAGAGAAGCAGGAGCTTCCCTACCTAGTAAGATAACTGAGAAGGTTGGAAGCATCGCACTCATTCTTGGGGAGGGTGTTGGGAGGCAGCAAGAGCAGTGCTATGGAGAAGGCATTGTCTAAAGAAGGTCTGAAGGCAGCGGTGGAGGGGAAGGAAGAAGGTAGAGGAATGAGGCTAGTAGAGAGCAGGGCAGCCTCAGCTTGGGAACACAATGCTCACATGACAGAAGGCAGTTCCTCCTGGCCAGACTGTGGGCAGAGTAGGGAGAGAAAGAGGTGGTGGGACCTGTGGTTGGAGGGGCAAATGAGGACCAGATTTCAAGGCCATTTGTTCAAAGCACAGTACCTTGGACCTTACCCTGAGGGCAATAGGGATCTAGAGTCTGTCTCCAACATCACCACTGGTCCCCCTCCCAAGAAGGTTTTTGTTTTGTTTTTTTTAAGTGGATAAAGGAAATTTTCAGAGATGTTTGTTGCAGCACATTAAAAAAATTTGTTTTTGCTCTTGGATCTAAACATGAGAAAGTTTGCTATAATCTCATTAATAGGACATACTGACAGTGGTCCATATGTGTCTTGGTCTCTCTCTTATTTGATTTTCCTTGTCCCCTCATTTCTTATCCCATTGCCCTCCATTTTAAGACACCCATTTCTTATGTGCTTGATACCTGGCCTTCACTGTGCATTTATCATTATAAAACATGTTTTTTAATGTGTGTTTTTAATTTACCTACATGGTATTCTGCTATAAATCTCTGCCTAACTTTTTTTCTTGATATAAAGGACCCATGTTGTTATGTATACATCTAGTTCATTGATTCTAACTGCTGCATAATCCATATATTGTATACTTTGTAGCACTATTCTATATAATAAAAGCCTAATATGCAAATTGTCCCCTCAATCAGGAGTTTGACCAGGGGGCAGAGCCAGCCAGTCAACTGCCCGCAGACCCTCCCCCAGGCCAGCTCCCCCCATCACCCCACCACCACCCCCTGATCAGGGGCAGGGCTGACCGGCCAATCTCCCGCATCCCCTCCCCCCTAGGCCAGCCAGGCGATTGGGGTGGGCCCGCCAGACCCCACCAGTGCACGAATTCGTGCACCAGGCCTCTAGTTTATAATAATACTGTGAAATAACCTAAATATTGCACAATAGGGAATGGTTAAGTAATCTTGGTGCATTACTACTGTGAAATAACATGCCTCCATTAAGAATGACAGTTCTGGATGCTATGGGATATGTTTTTATGACAATGTAAAGGGAGAAAGGCAAACACAATTGTCTTTATCCTGTGAAAACAACCACATACTAGTAAAAATACATGTTCATGCAGCCAATGGCTGGAAAGGAGCAGAGGAAATAAAAACAGCTCTTTATGTTGGAACACGGGAACTGTGTGTAACATTTCTCTTGTAGCTGTTAATCATGATTATGGTGTGCCTGGGGATTTGACCTACACACTAGAGCTTTACCCAGTATAATCTTAGGGGACAGAAGAGACCAGGGCAAGATTAATCTCTGCCTGCCCCAGAGTTGGCATTTCCCTGCCCCTCCTCAGCCAGAAAGTCTTCCTCTCCACCACCTGTGTCCTGCATTGAACTTCAGCTGTCTCTTTCCCACAGGAAACAGGATTGAAAATAAAAAGTCCTTTCAGAAGGCTGAGATAGACCCAGTGTTGTCGAATTTAACTATCTTCAAGGTTAAACAAGAAAGGCAAAGTGCATAGAGTTATATATATATTTTTCTCCCACTTGTGCAAAAAGCAAAACATAGGAATTTGTAAGGGAATGGAAAATTTCTGGAAGAACAGACAAGATATTGTAAACAGTAATTGCCCTGGGGAGCGGGATTGGGGAGCTGGGGTAGGAGGGAGACATACTTTTCTTTAAAGTATGAGAGAAATTGCTATTATCTTTTTTAAAACCATGTACACCAAGCATCACCTCGTGAACCCTCGTTTCAGTGATGAGGCCTCAGCCAATTTGCGGACTTGTTGCACGCGTTATGATTCACAGAGCGCACACTATTCTGACATTAATTCCTGCGCAGAACGCAACTGAGGGTCAAGACACACGGACAGCTCAGGGGGCAGAGGATTCCGATGTGGCAGCGGGTGTCACTGACGCGGACCTGCTCCCGAGGTGGCGGACGTCTCCCGTGGGGGCCCGTCCCCTCCCGGCCGCCCCGCCACCCCCGCGCGGAGGGGGTCCTTCGGCCGCGCTACCAGCGGGTGGGAGGGCCGCAGGGGGTGGCGACCCCGCCCGCTCCGCGTCCTGTCCCGGAGCGGCCGGCGCCTAAACTGGGCACCTTCCCCGGGCGGGGACGGGAGGAGGGAGCGGCCGCGGCCTCACCCCCGCGGGCGGCGAGGCGCCGGAGCTCAGGCCGCCTCCGCCTCCGCCTCCGCCTGGCGCTAAGTTTAAAAAGTTAACGTGACAGCGGCTGGCACCGGAAACGAAACCAAACTCGCCCCGCGGGCCGCCTCCGGGGCCCCGCCGGGCCCTCGGCGCCGCGCCACCGGAACCAGCCCGCTCCCGCCATTTCCCGCCGCTCCCGCCGGCCCGCAGCGCCGCGCTGGGCGGAGAAGGCCGGCTGCATGGCGCGCCGCGAGGACTGCGGGGACGGCGCCCGCGCCCGGCAGCACGTGTTCCTGCTTCCAGGTAACCAGGCCGCCCGGCGCCAGCCCTCGGCCTGCAGCCCCGGGCCGGCCCGGAGCGCGGAGCGTCCCGCCGGAAGGCGCCCCGCCGCCCCCGCGCCCGCGGCCCCCGCGCTCCCCTGCGGGACCCACGGCCCGCGCTGCGTCCCCGGGCCCCGAGCCAGACCCGATGGTCTCCCGGAGCACATCGTCCCTCGTCTTGGTCACGTACGGCAGCTCGGGTTCCCAAGCCCCCGCCGGAAGCGCCAAACGGCCCCCGCCCCCCGGCCCCGCTCGCACTCTCTCTGGATCCACGGGCCTTAGGGAGCGTGCGGCGCCGGGGTGTCTTGCCCGCGGGTGTAAGTCGGTGCCTCCCCCCCCCCCCCCCCCCCCCCCCCGGCAGCTGCTCCAGGTCCGGGCTCTTCCTGGGTCGGAAGCTAGGGTCCAGGAGGCCTGCACTGGCCCCTGTCCTGGGACAAACCCTGGACGGTGGTCGGCCAGGACCAGGTGGGGAGGTGCCGGTGGGTAGGCGAGGGCAGGAGTGCTGGCGGCAGGTCTCCTGGCCCCGCCCTCGCCCCGCCCTGACCATCAGCCATCCAGGCCTGCAGGGGCTGGGCGTGGTGGCCAGTTGCCACAGGTGATGGGCCCCTGAAATGGCAGAATAAAAGGAGGAGTTTGGGACAAGAAATGAAAGCCAGGAAAGTTTGGCACTTCTGTAGAATATATTGATATGATGGCATAACATAGAAAATAAGGGAAATACGTTGTTTGTGTTTGAGTTTCAGTTCAGCAAATGCTTAAGTATTTGCTAATGACGATATAGTTGTCCAGTTATGTAGGTTTTATGGTGGATATTGAGAAGTATCACATGTCAGTTAGTATTTTTGTGTGTCTAACCTTTTAAGCCTTTGTAAAGAGGTATAGCATACAGTAAAATCTACATATTTAAGTGTGCAACAAAATGAGGTTTTCGTATGTATACACCCCTGTAACCATCCTCCAGGTCATGATGTAGGACTTATTCAAGCTCCTCATGCCTGTTGGTAGATACCCCAGTTACCTCTCTGCTGTCACCAGAGATTCATTTCACTTGTTGAGGTCAGTGTGTGCTCCTCTGTGTCTGGCTTCTTTCACTCAGAATTATGCCTGTAAGATTCATCCCTATTGGGTGCAGCAGTTTGTTGGTTGATTTGTGTTTTTATTTCTGTGTATATTTTATTGTATACATACCCATAATGTTTATCTCTACGGTGGATGGACATTTGGATTTCCGGTTGGTAACTATTATGAATTACACATGTAGGACAGACAGAGGAATTTGTTTCTGTAGGGTGCAGTGCTTGGGAGTGGAATTCCTGGTCCTAGGTACTTGTATGTTCAGTTTTAGTGGATGCTGCTGAACAGTTTTCCAAAGTGGTTGTACGGATTTCCATTACGACCAGCAGTGTGTGAGAGTTCCTGTTGCTCCACATCCCCACTAGAGATGCTTGTGTAGTAAAACAGGTAATGCAAAATTCAGGTTTTGACAGAATCTAATAAAGGGCTACCTGTACTCATGCTTTACGTTAGAAAAATCATCTTCTCACTTTTGTTACATCAATTCAATGAGATTTTAAGGGTAGGGACTCTATTTTTTCAAATCAAATGCATTATTTTTATTCAGAGACACACAATGGCTGAGGATAATGTAAGTTTCTTATTTTTTTCTGTTTAATCAGTATTGACATTCATTCTTAAAGTCTGTTTGTATCTTCATTATATTAAACACAAGACCTTCAGAAAAATTAAGTATTGATTGCATTCCATAAAATTGCAGGTTTACTATATCTACTGCTGGGGCTGTGAGAATAATTTCAGTCCTGTTCCTGTTCAAAACTGAGATGTGCTATGCCTCACTGGAGGAGCTGGAGGCAGCTGTTCAGGAACTGCTAGAAGGAACTGTCAGACCAGCAGGTTTTGTAACACAACTTCAGCTTCCTGCTCATGTAATTCTTTTAGCCGGCCTTTAGTGCCACCTGCAGGCTCTGAGGGTACAAACACTGGTGCTTGATAATTACTGCAGTGCAACAGTGCTTCTCAGACTTGGGGGTATCTGCCACCAGGTGAGCTGATCCTCACCTCAAGAGTTCCTAATTCAGTGGGTCTGGAATGGGCCTGACAATGTGCATTTCTAACAAGTTCCCAAGTGATGCTGATTCTGCTGGCCTGGGACCACACAAAGAACCACTGCAGTGAGACCAGCCCTTGAGAGCTGGATTGGGAGATAGGAATGGCCATCTCGAGGTTTCTCTCTCTTTGGAGTGGGCCAGAGTGTGCATGGTCAGGGGAGTGCGTGTAAGCACAGGGTATGACATGTCCTGGTATTTGTTAGGAAATCAGCTCTAGTAAGTTATGCATTTGAAAGGAGGAGACTGTACCCTTGGCTGAGTGAGCACCATTAGCTACAGTAAAGTTGGGCCCTTCGTAAAAGAAACAAAGATTGTATGAAATTTTTCAAAAGTATTAGATGGAAGCAGTCTGTGCTCAGTTTTGGAAAACTTCTGGCAGAAGGATTTGAAGCGCTTACTCTACATACAGAAAAGTGAGCAAGTTAATAATCAGGCCAACAAAACTTTAGAGATTTATCCATGAGACAAATGTACAGGCACCGAAACCTTGAGATGACTCTTTTCCCCACAACATTTAATTTACTTTACTTATCGAGTTGCCTACCACAGTATTGTGTTATATCTTGGAGGGTAAATTTAAAAGTACTATTTAGGTATCTTTGCCTCTCATTTTCCTGAAGAAGTAGATTATCTTCCCCCCACATCCTCCACACCCTCCCCCCCAAAAAAGCTGGGACTTAGAAGGGATACTTGTGAGGCAATCAGTCTTGGAGTCTCGATTTTCATATGCTGGTGAAGACTGAACTGCCTTACTTTTCAGCAGAGTAAGCATGTCTTGTAGTTTAGGACGGTCTTAAACATTTCTCAAACATGGCCGGGGAATACTAGTCTACGTATTTGCAGTTTCAGTTACTATGAGAGATTGTTAACATCTCTACTTTTTGGAATATGGTAGAAGTTTCCATCCCTCTTTGCTACCCTAAAAGTAAATGTTTAAGTCATATTTTAAATATTTCTCTTGAGTCCAAGTTTTGTATGCTTGTCAGTTCTATTAAGTTTGAATGGACTCTAGTGTAAAAGGCCAGCCGGGAACAGATTCACTAAGTGTAGGATAGAAGACTGTGCTTATTGTTAATGTGGCTGAACCCTGTTACTTAGCCATCTCCAAGGAAATGTTAAAGCATTGGGGAACCCTAATGTGAGGGGGGAAAGCAAGGACAGAAATGATTCAGGACCAGTTAAGAAACTCCTTTGGGTCTACTTAAGCTGAAAAGGTCCTTTAATCAGCCCTCTGATTAAACTGGACTTCAACCATAGATAAGTTTTGCAATAAAGTAATTCCCCTTTACTGTATTTCATGCATATACTTGTTAAAAAGTATTTTAGGAAGGGTTGTATTATTTATTTCCCCACAGCCATCATAAGTAATGCCAGTTTTTTTGTGGGGGGAGGTGGGGTGGTAGAAGATAGACTTTGGGAGATAAGAATTCCAGGCTTGCCAGCCAACCTTAGACACTCCAAATACAGTAAGAAATCTTTCATGTGAGGCACCACAACAATCACAAATAATGATAGGCCTCTCCAAATGGAATGCAAAGATAGATTTGAAAGCATAGTGTGAATGCAAACTTTAGAACTATGTTCTTAATTTAAAAATTAAAGAGAAATAAACTTTAAAAGAACTCATTTTCCTGTTTAATGATGGAGAAAGTTCATATCAGTGCTATTACTGATTAGAGTCTTGTAGTTTGTGTGTTTTTTTTAAATCCTCACCAAAGGATATTTTTCCATTGATTTTTAGAGAGAGTGGAAAGGAGGGAGAAAGGGTGGGAGGGGAGAGAGAGAGAGAGAGAGAGAGAGAGAGAGAGAGAGAGAAACATAGATATGAAAGAGACACATGGATTGGTAGTCTCCCACATGTGCTCCAATCAGGGATTGAACTTGCAACATGCCCTTGACTGGGAATCGAACCCTTGACCCTTCAGTCTGCAGGCTGATTGATGCTCTAACCACTGATCAACCCAGCTAGGGCGTGTAGCTTTGTAATAAGCCCCCAAGAACACCTCTTATTTGAAAAAAAGTAAAAATATGTGTTGAAAGAATAATTACTATACACCTAAATGAGTTTTCAGTGACCCTAAAACAAATGAACAAAATACAAAAAACTCATTTTTTCTCCGTAAGTGCACATGGTTAATCTCAGAAAGAATATTTAAGCAGGTTTTTTGTTCTTTGTCAAATTGTTTGCATGCACCGGTATATCTGTTTGTGTTTAGAAACATACCTTGTGGGCTGAAAGCTTCCTTACTTTCAGAAGAGCTTATTCACATGAGAGGAACCTGCATAGTTTGGCTAGCCTTACGGGGAGGTGGGAAGAGGGGATCAGGGAGGCATGGGGCGGTCTGGCCAGTTCAAGTGCTGATTTTAGAAAACCTCTGAATAATTAAGCTCAGCTTCTGGGAAAATATGACATTTACTGAATAGTGGTCTGTAGGCCTTCAGCAGTGGGGGTCTCTGAGCTTTCTAGCATGGGGCATGTGTAATATTTTCCGCGCAAATACTGAGTCTGGCTTTGCCTTTATGAAAAGTTTTTTGGTGGGAACCAGACTGACCTTTCTCAGAAGGCCACTGGATCTGTTCCCCTTGCTATTTGAGCACGTTCTGAAGTGGATGGACTTAAATACTTGCCAGCTGGTGTAATTAGGCTGTTTCCGGAGCCTGATATTGCCCTGCTAGTAATTGTTCCAATGACCAAGTACGTTTTATAAGAACTTGTGAGGCCCTCATGTTTATCCTCCAGGGCAGAAGAGAAATCATAAAAGGAAAGTAAGCAACATTCGTAATTTTTTATTTGGAAAGCAGAATAGGAGCTACATGGGTTTTCCCCATATCCTCAGTTTTAACTATGATAAGAAAC